TTAGTTAGGATAGGATACGATCATCCATTCATTTAAAAGTTATGGTCTATGACAGAAAGATGTGGAGAAGAGAAGGGAATATTTAGACTTGCCGTCCTGCCCTGGCATGGCATCATGGCATGCTTCTTTTTATAATAAAGTCGTCCACACAATCAGAATCCTGCTCACCACCGGCAGAACTTTCCATCCTCCAGTCCTTTCTCATCATCATGAATGCCCACATGTAACAAAATGCATTCATATATCAAACCCTTCATTTCACCCTTCAATGTATTCCACGATGCCTGAAGGCTGCAGTCAATATTTTCCGCATAAAAGGGATAAAGGCAATGCTCTGTATATGAAGAAACTAAAATGCATTGAATTGGCTTCTTGTATGCGTAGGTATATATGCACTGAAGTGGATTCTCAGCTAGTGGTAAATTGGATTGCATCACAAACAAGATTTGGTAATCATATTGATCAGGAATGAAGGTACTCATAATTTTGGACTCATAATAAATATACAATAAAAATATGTCTTTTAATTTATACTGACTTATTTTTAATCAATTTCAACATAAAATTACATCTTAACTACTACTTACAACAAAAATTATGTAATTTCATGTTTAAATTGATTGAGAAAATAAAGATTTTGAAAAAATTTTAAAAAAATATATTTATAATAAAAAAATTATCAATTATTTAAATAATTTAACATTAAAAATAAAATATTATAAATTTAACTTATATGATATGATAACGAAGTTAAGTTAAAAAGTAGGAAAGTACTGCCTCCATGCAATCCAAAATAATAATAATAAATATATATATAAACAGTAGCGGAAGTACTAATCGGATGAGAGAAACAAAAAATGTTAGCAATATTTGACTCCAAGAATGGGATGGCAATTGGCAAATTTGGCGTAGTCACATCTTTTTCAGCTAAAAATGAAATGGGGTTCGTGGTGGGGTCTGAAGGGGTGGTGGCTCTGGGGCACCAATACTTTGCATGACACATGTTAAAATTTTAAAGTTTGTCAGCCTGTACGATGAAACGGGTGATTTTTGACACTATGTCAACGCTCTGCATCAAATCGTTCCTGCCGCCTGCCTAACTTAACTGCTTTAAGCTTTTCACCCGGTATGAATAGCCCCCCATTATTTTCGCTCTTTTTTTGTTTTATAAATGAAAAAAAAAAAGTTTTTGTACGTTGATGTTGTGGTTGTTTTTCTTCTTTTTTTAAAAATTTTTTTAATTTTAAAGTATATTGTTAAAGATTTATTTTTTGATTCATATTTTTTAAAATTAATTGTTAAATTAAAAAATATATGTAGATTATATATGTAAATTGTTATGTTAATTTAATAGGTCAATCATTTTATTAATTACATAAAATTTAATATTATTAAATATATATTAATAAATAAAATTATTTTGATTACCGAGCTCTTCGGGACCAAGTAGCAATAGCCACTCATGGTGCATTTTCTTTTTCCCCAAGGCTGGGGTTCGAACCCAACCCCTTGTGAAATCTGTTAAAAAAAAAAAGAATTATTTTGATTAAAAAAATTATAAGTATTAAATTAATATAAAAATTGATATATATAATTTATATAAATAAAATTTTTAATTTAATCATTAATTTTTAAATTTATTAATTAAAAAACAAATTTTTAAATGATTCCTTAAAAAAATTTTAAAAAAGATAAACCGTCTTACATCACTCTCTTTTTACATAACTTAAAATTTGAGTATAGTAGTTAGATTTTTTTATAATGAATTATATAATAAAAATAACTTTTAAATTAAATTTTATTTATTTATTTTAAAATCTAAACTTAAAATTTTTAATATTAAAAATCCAACTCTTAAATCTTAACTACTAATATGTGCCTTGAGGAACAATTTATAGTTAGATACAGAGGCAGACCTAAGCAGAGTCAAGCACAGAACTTACCTTACCTATAAAAAGGAAAAATTTTGGAAGAATGCCAAGCCCTGCTGCTCAGGCCCTACTGGATTTCTCCTCCCAACTGCTGCAAATTGTATTGGCTAGTCCCGAACGTGCCCCTCTTCACACACCCCAATCGCATAAATCTTGCTGAAAGTCTCGGCAACAAGGACAAACTTCATTAAGGCTTTCCCCTCCGATTGTTGTACTTGGCCATTTAAGCAAAGTCAAAGCACCCTTTTTTCCTGTTTTGGTTTGAGAGCGATGTTAATTGAGGGAGATTAGGAAAGAAGAAGTTTCAAAACAAAGGAGACAAATATGCCACGTGTGAAGTGTCTATTTCACTTAATATGAGTCCATGGCTCTCGTAATCTCAACAAATTAATCTCCAAAATTTATTCATGTCCAATAAAGCCCAAATTTTCAATTAAGGTCCCAAATTTGCAAATTCTTTCTTTGATTTGTACAAATTAATTTCTCATGTAGGCGTTAAAGTTTTAAGATTCAAGTACTAGAAATTTTTTGAAAAATTTAATTTAACTAAATCAAGAATAATTAAGATATTAGTGTTTATTTACCTTAATTATCTCTTAAAAAAAAGTTACTCTAAAATTATATTGTTTTAATAAAATATTATGAGAAAAAATTAAAAACAATGTAATTCATAATACTAAAATATAATATTTTAACCTTTTTTAATTGAAATTTATTAAAACAATGCAATTTTAGAGAAATTTTTTTTTTTAATTTTTAAAAGGTAAAGTGAAAGAGTATTATTTCCTAATTAAATACACTTAAAAAATTTGTAGGTTAAAACCAAATTATGTCAATGTACTCCAATTCCTTTTGTTTCTTTTGTTTTCTTTTTGTTGTTTTATTTTCATCTTTTTCTTCTTCTTCTTTTTCTTTTTTAATCATGAACTAAGTGAATAATATGTACCATATAACCATTTGGTTGAAGTGGTTTTTTTTATTGATCTTACGTATTATAGTTTAATTAAGAGCTTATTTGGTAAATTTTTTTTTTTTTTTACTAATCTTTCGGTATCCGGTAATCACATTGAATCGTAATTAATCCATAATCAAGCTGCGTCAGCCCCTATTTGAGGGAAAACATCCCCAACTCTTATTTTTCCATTCACAAAACTTAAATTTGAAACTTTATTTAAGAGAAACCACGCATTTTCACTCGAATCAATAGATCGTTAGTGATAAAATATTTTTATAAAACAACACATAAAAACTCTACCAAACCACCTTTAATTACGTTAAACGTAATAAACAGTGGGCGGAATAAAAATGTACATTATGCCCAATCTATGAAGGAGTCCTGGTTCCGCCCTGATTGTAAATAGGAGTCTTGGTTCCGCCCCTGATTGGATGTAACCTTTATACAAGGCAAGTCATAAATTTTAGGAAAATGATGTGTGGACGCTCGGATTCAACATCCGGGTGTGCATACCCCCATAAAAAAAAAAATATCTCCACCGGGTGCATACCATTTTTTTTTTTAATGTAAAGGTGTACACTCGGGTGTTGGATCTGAGTGTGCCCCAATCATGATCCTAAATTTTATATCAAAATAATAGAGAATTGGTTTGAACTTGCGCTGTTACATCGTTGATGAGCTGCTATATAATTACTACTAGAATTTTCTATAGAGTTTGAGAACAAAAATTGTATCCTTTTTTTGACAAAAAGAAAATTTTATACTTATTTGTACAATTTCTCTTTATCTTATCCCTTTAAGATCTATAACCTTCTAGAAAGTATAGAAGACACAATGCCATCTATCCGAAAACAATTTTCTTTCAATTTTCTTTTTAAAGTTTTTCTTGTTCTGATCAAGGCGTCCTTCGATTAGGACCTTTCATTTTGGTCTAAGCATGATCAAATTTATCAACTCGGGTAGGTCTTACTTGGTACAAAATGCTAGTTATATAATTACAAACGCTTTTTCAGCCTCAAAAAATTGTTAATTAAGAGGTTTAACGAGTAGCAACAACCAGTGCTTGTTATCCCACTTCTAATGGGTTATGATGAAGTTGAGGCCATATGCTGTCCCTCAATAATACTGGTTTAAATAATGTGATAATCAAATTAACAACCAAAAGTACCATTTATTTTTATTAAAAATTTGTTAATTATTTTTAATTTATTGTTAGTGCCTTTGGTTAGCTTTCGCTTATGTAAACACTTATTCTCTCCAAACAATCTTAAGGGCATATCTCTACATTAATTTAGTACATTTAAGAAAATTAATTTTTTTTTTAAATATTAGCTCTAATACTTAAAATCTGAATTGACTTATAAGATAATATTTACTTACCAATAAATTCAATTCTTGAGAGTAAAAATTGCTAATTGTGTATATGTGTATTAGGCAATCTAAAACACCAAAATGGTAAAATTATTTTACAATAATTAGTATAATATAACATTATGTATTATTATTAATTAATTCTTTTTATTTGAGAAGTCAAACACGAATGAATATATATCTATTTGTATAATACCAATAAAAAATATTATACTTGTAATATTATCACTAAACAATGGCTCAAATCAATTAGAAGAGAAAGCAAGTTTATTTTGGATATGCCACCTGGCCCTCATCAGCATTATGACATTATCACCCAAATAATTTTGGCCTAAAAGTATTCATAATGCTATAGTTACAAGTTATATAAGGCTATAAATTTACAATAATAATATATAATTAAATAAATGTAACATATAATTAAAAGAATAAATACATGTAGTATTATAAATAAATTCTTAAATTAAAAAAAATTAATTTTATAACAATATATTTTATTATAAATTTAAAATTTATATAGCATTACAATTGTACTATTATTTCACTAATGGTATTGCAAACTGCCATTCTCACTTTAAGCGAAAAAGTTAGGAAGGCAAATTGGATGAATGGTAGACGGTCAAAGAGGTCGAGGGAGTTGAAGATATGCCACATGCCACTACACATTTGGGTCCATATACCACTACAGACAATGACACCTCACTTGATCTCCCCCTATATAAGGCGGCCCCTGACCTTGTCTTAGCCATCATCCAGCAACTTAAAGCTTTACATCTTCACTATCTACGCCTCCATAGTCCGCCACTCACTGCCGTCCCTGGCCTTCCATCTTATATAAGCACTGAATAAATTGCATATATTGCAAAATCTATACAAATTCTAGTAGTATTTACATAAATTTGTGGAAAAATAAATTGTATTTTTTCAGACATGGGAAACGCTGATTACGAGTGTTCCCACAAGGTGGCAGTTCCGCCCTCAAAACCATTTCTCCAGTCTCTGAAATCTGGTCTGAAGGAGACGTTCTTTCCTGACGATCCTTTCCGGCAGTTCAAAAACCAGCCTCCGTCCAGGAAGGTTCTGTTGGGGTTACAGTATCTGGTGCCCATCCTCGAGTGGGCTCCTCGCTACTCTTTCCAGTTCTTCAAATCTGATCTCATCGCCGGTATCACCATTGCCAGTCTTGCCGTCCCTCAAGGCATAAGCTACGCCAGTTTAGCGAGTTTGCCGCCGATTATCGGACTATGTAAGTACATATATGGTATCATCCAATTAATCATTACTAGCTAGCTAGAACGTAATAAGGCTTTTTCAGTCGTAGTTAATTATTACTCTAAATTAATGAATACTGTTTGGCAGATTCAAGCTTTGTTCCTCCGCTGGTGTATGCGATGCTTGGGAGCTCGAGAGATTTAGCAGTGGGGACTGTTGCTGTGGCGTCTCTTTTAATGGCTTCCATGTTGGGCAAAGTAGCAAACCCTACCGAAAACCCTCAGGCCTATCTTCAGTTGGCATTTACAGCTACATTTTTTGCTGGAGTTTTACAAGCTTCTCTTGGCATCTTCAGGTATATTTTGTTTAAATTTTCAACTCTCCGAAGATAATTAAGCTTGTAATGATTAAGTATATTAAACAGTTTGTATATTAAACATCACAGACTTGGGTTTATCGTGGATTTTCTGTCACATGCAACCATAGTGGGTTTCATGGGTGGAGCAGCCACTATTGTCTGCTTACAACAGCTAAAAGGGATTCTTGGTTTGGTTCATTTTACTCATGAGACCGACGTTGTATCCGTCATGCGCTCTGTTTTTGCCCAAACACACAAGGTAATTAAACACGATTTAAATTTAGCTCGAGCATATTTAGCTCTAAATTAAGCACTTAAAAAAAAA